ACCTGAGTCCGAGGAGGATGAAGGCAGTGGAGGCGGAGCACGAGGGCGGCGTGAATAGACCTGCAAAAGAGGTGAGGAAACAACAAGAGAAGGCTCTTCTTGGAGTGTTGTGAGCCAGTTTATGCATGCTACTCGTACAACTCATATGGATGCAGTATATCATATTCTTCGATATCTTAAGTCCTGTCCTGGACTTGGATTATTCTATTCTTCTAGCAAGCAGGTTGGGCTATCTTGTTTCAGTAATGCAAACTATGCTGGGTCCAAGACTGACAGACGTTCCACATCTAGCTTGTGTACTTTCTATGTAGACCATCTTATATCCTGGAAAAGTAAGAAACAACCTGTAATTTCGAGATCTTCAGCAGAGGCTGAGTATTGTGTCATGGCTTAGGGCACTTGTGAGATTCCCTAACTTCGATCTTTCTTGGAGAAGGTGTCGGTAGAGGATCCCTAAAGTTGTAGAGGCCATCGTGCTCATATCCCTTGCCAAAAATCCTCTTCGAATGCAGGTCCTTTAATGAGGAAAGAAAATCACTGCACAGTTTAGTGATTTGGCAAGTTTGCTAACCGATAGAAGATTAAATGCAAAATTAGGAACATAAAGAACATATGGCAAAATAATATCAGGATATAGATGAACATTTCTTTTGCGACGAATAATGGTGGTTGACCCATCGGCTAGACTAACAGCCTGACTAACAGGGTTAACGGGAGTAGAAAATAATGACAACTCACCAGTCATGTGATCATTGGCTCTGGAATCCAGAACCCAAGTAGGTTTTCCCGCTTTAACGTGATAAGCAGAAGGAGTACCTGTAGCTATAGTAGTCGTGAGAGTAAAAGAGCCGGCCCTGGTAGATAAGGCTCCGAACTGCTCCTGAAGTTGACCAATCTAGGACTGTAACTATTTGAAGTCCTGAAAAGATGGTATGGGAGGAGTTGAAGTAGGAGGGACAACAATCTGTAGAGTAGTATACCCACCAATAGTATCGGCTACTGCGGCAGTGCGGCCACGGCCCGAAGATAAAGTGTCATTTTGGCTACTAGAATCACTCGTAGTACCAAACTAAGGCTGGTCCACATGTCGAAGAGGGAGGAAGAGAAAAACAATGCCGGAAAAATCGGCGCTTTCCTCCAAATATGTTGCCGAACAAACACCGGCAGCCCACAAAGGAAAAAAAAAAAACACCAAAAGGACCCTTAGATCATAAAAAAACCTAAGGGAATTCTCCTAAAAAAGGAGTCAAAAACAGAGGGTTACTCGAGGGGTCCGGCGTAAGGGCTGGGAGGAGATGGAGGTGCGCCGGAGGTGAGGGAAAATGGAGAGAGGAAAAGAGAAGGTGGCGGTGTTGGGGAGGCGAAGGTTTTTGTTGAGCTTTGATACCAAAAAAAAGAAGTTTTGGGTTTTGGCTTACTCAAACCGAGAGCCAAGATCTATATTTATATACAAGAATATGGTACAAAGAAAGGAAACCAAATCAAAGAAAGACAGAAAATATGCCAAAATTTATGTGAACCCATGATTATGGGATCTTATCTACGGGATCCCATAATTACAGGGATCTTATCTATGTGATCCTATGATTATAGGGATCTTACATAAAACACATAATAAAAGGCTAAAAACAGCTAATAAAAATAAAAATAATAAAGGTATTTCAACACTCTCTGTGCTCCGGTTTTCAAAACGTTTCTACATAGTTAGGGGATGTCCATGAAACCTCTCCCTCTAGGCAATGTGGGACGTCACATAATCAATGTGTGTACAACAATAACTCTCTTGAAAGGTAGATTTGTACAGTGTAAGCTCACAATCCTAGAGTTAAGATTGAATAATCAAGTTGAAGTTTAATTCTAAGTCAAATGTGTATAATCTCAATAAATGATGCTCAATAAATGTTTCAATGGTGTCTTATGCGTAGAAATGTTGGTACAAGGCCATATTTATAGTCCCATACAAAATATAACTGTTCGGGGCATTTAATGCGTGAAGGGACAGTTGAACTAACCGTTAGATTTCAAATTTTGATTAAAGCAGCGATTAATGCATAAAGCAGTTGACTGGTCTGGCTAGAACAATCTGCTGATCCTTGTGAATGAGTCAATTGATTTGTTAGTCTTCTGAGTGCTTAAAACTCTCTAGACAAAACCAGTCGACTAGTCCTTTGGGATTAGTCGACTCGGTGATGGCCACATTCTGAAAAGAATGAGTTGACTGATTTGTCATTTTAAGTCGACGGATTCATTGAAGCTTCAACTAGTGGAGGCTCTGGTCAACATTAGTCGACTGGCTCTACAAGAGCAGTCTGCTGCAATTAGGACCTTATGCATTGGTTCAATGTCCAAGGCCTATTGCTAAGTGTCTAGGGATCAAATGAGTGATATGCGTTAGGTCCTAGAAACTAACTCCTATATTTTGAGCTTCAAACTTAGTTACTCAGAAATAACTATACATTGAGTTCTAGCTCTCACCATGGACTATCTACCCAATGTCTTCATCTTTGACTTCAATGTCTTTTGATCTTTTAGATTTCATCTTCAAGACTCGGATCCTTCTTGGCTTTGCCATTGATCCATTAGTTCACTCGAATTTAAGATAAACCTATTGAACACACTCAAGTGGACATTAGTACAACACTTCTTATAATCAAAATTACCTTTTACTCTTGGGTTGAAACCTTGGGGTCAACAAAATTAACTCATGATTTTTTTGTTCTTAGTAGGCACTTAAGTATTTCTTTGATTTATTTATTTAATTTTTTCTTTTTTTATCTTTTTCTCTAGTTGTGTTGTGTGAGAATGCGGGTTCAAATCTTGAGAGCAGTCACTTTGTGCAAATGTGTCAAAAGGTTAGGTCTCTATTTAGTCCACTCTTCCCAGCATCTTCGATTAACGGGGACCACACTGGGTAATGATTAGTTGATTATCTATCAGTTTATGATCCATTTTGAGTTTTGGGGAATGGATTGGTGTTAAGTGTTAACGACTTCCTCCTGTCAATGCTCAAGCTGATAGAGAGGGGGTGTAACAAGTCTTACATGTGGCAAGATTTTCTTCCATCAGTGGGCTGAACATGTGAATGTATTATAGTTATTATTGGGTGGTGAGATGTGACCCTAGGAATTAATTAATTTACTCATGAAAAAATGAAAGAGAAGAAAGAAGAGAAGAAAGAGAAAGACCGGGGAAAGAAAGTATGATGGCAGAAAATAGAGAGCCTTGGGGTTCTCTCCAGGTTTGTTACTATTTTTGCTAAACTCAAAAGGAAGTTGGAAATCCATCCCTAGTTAAATATGAGCACTCACCCTTTTAAGTTTCAGCAAACTGGTTGTGGATGATATATCATAAACCACCATTGTGTCTATATTGCAGTTGTCAATGGTTTTCTACATGCTCATATTATATCCGCATGGGCTTTGACTCATTGGTAAGTGATGGTTCTTATTTTCGTGACCCTTGTTAACAACTGATGCTTCAGTGCCTTTTCTTGTTCATTGAGCTTTAACAATCAAAATCTCTCCCTCTCTCTCTCTCTCTCTCTGTGCAAATGGAATTCTGTTTGAAATCGGCTAGCTGCTTAGGTTCAAGGATGATATCTCAGGAGCGAAATCTGCATGGAAGTCATTGGTTTTACCATCCATAATCTTAAATCTGTATCAGACTAGACGATAAAACAAACTTTACTAGTTCCTGTGTACAGGGATAGTTCTTAATACAAGTGTGACCCTTAGGCCCTGTTTGGGAAGTGTTGTGTTTTGTTTTGTAATGTTCCCGGCCTGCTACAGTAGCCCATTTTTAGTCCAAAACATGTTTGGCCCGCCTTGTTTTGTTTTCAACAGTACCAGAACACTCCAGGATTTTGGGCCCAATAGCTGGAACAAAAATTTGGTGTTTTATGTTGTTCCAGGCCCATTTTTTACTGTAGCGGGGGTAATAAAATTTTTTTTTAGGGCAAATCATTTCAGCCTCCCAATCGCCTCCATCTCTATTCTCGTTCTCAACTCTGGAACTTGCCCCCTCTCTCTCTCTGCAATTGCAAACTACAAAATCTACAAGAATCAGAAGTTCAAAACCCGCCTCCATCTCTATTCTCGTTCTCAACTCTGAACTTGCCCTCTCTTTCTCTCTGCCTTTGCAAACTACAAAATCTACAAGAATCAGAAGTTCAAAACCCATATATTTCAGTTTATCTATCTGTCTGGAAGAATCAAAAGTTCAAAACCTATTACCTATATCAAAACCCATATTGGCATATCATTTCAGATTGTTCAAAATATTAAAACCCATTTATGTCGTTTGATTTACCATCGGAGTGAGCCTCGCAGCCTCTATCATGAGGGATATCGATGCTGCCGATGATGAGGGGTTTCCAGGTTCCAATCTGTGGAGGTCGAAGCCGTGGCCGACCTGGAAACGCAGGGACTTGGAAGGAGTGGCGGCGGTGGTTTGCGGCTCTACTTCTATGGCGGCAGTGGTGGCGGATGCCGTAATCGGAGATGATCTGGGTGTTGCTCGGAGAGATAGAGGAGGTGATGAGAGGAGAGTGAGATGGGTGCGAGGAAAGAGTGAAGGAGGAGGAGAGAGAGAGAGAGATTGGGTTCGTGGATGTTTTGAGGAGAGAGAGATTGGGTTCATGGATGTTTGGATGTTTTGATCCTCGCCAAACATGTTTTGTTCTCATCTTAGAACAAAACATGACAAAACACTTGTTCTGTTTTAGACTAAAACAAAACACTACAAAACACAACGCATTCCAAACGGGGCCTCAGTAATTCAGGTTGCAAGAGAACTTAAAGTATCATTGCACTGTTTTACTTTTTCAGTATATTGGTTTATTTCTCTTTTTCCCAATTGCAGATTATGTAAATTTGAGTGTAATAAATCTTCTATAATTGTGCAAACTGGATTGACCACTCAAAGTTCTTTCTTATGTTATGTTTGAATGAGCTATAATCTTCTTTGAGGCCTGAATTTTGACAATTATAATATTATTGTAGGCTGTGCTGTTGGGAAAAGGACACCTCGCTATCCTGTTTCTTATTCATTTAGAAAATATGATGGGGAAAGCTATGATTCACCTAGTAAAAAAGGATGGAAGTCAGAGGTGGACAAAGTTGCACATGTGGCAGCATTAGCACTAACAGAGGCCTCACAGAGAGGTGGTCCCCTCCAAGTTTCTCACTCTCCATTTAAAACAGAGCGCATGAAACCCTTGCTTCTTCAGAGTCAGGAAAGGATGGTAGTAGTTGCAATATTTTTAATTGTTGCTTTTGTTGCTTCTATGATGTTGTTATTAATTGTGATTACTTGTTCACGTGTGACAGCATTTGAAATCACAGATGGCTAAAGCCAAGCTGCATGATACTGGAATGGATGAAGACTGTTTGGAGAGCAGTTTAAACAGCAGGGGAGCTGAAAATGGAGATTATCCTGGAGATACAAGTGCTTTGATGGATGTTGAAGTTGTTGATACAACAGAAGTCTATCAGAAGGGGAAAAAAGTTTATAGGAAGAGAGAAAATGTTAAAGACATCAGAACCATCCAATTTGATGATGGTCGGGAGGAATGTAGTGGCACTGAAGGTCTTAATGTGAGGGATGCGAAGAGAAACATCAAGGTTACAAATGTGAAAATTGAGCGGTCCTTTTCTCAGTCTAAAAGGAGGAGGGACAAGAAACTTTTTTTTGGAGGTATGTTTAATGGCGCATTATTTCATTGTCTTTTAAGTTTAAATATTCTTTGATCTCTTTATTGTGTCAGGGAAGGGTGGGGGTCTTTGTGTATTTTCAGTTTTAATTTTTGCAAGTTTTTCACTATTAACATCCTTTCATTTCCACAAAGTCTCAAGAGGATAATATTTGCCTTCACACCAGTAAGGAGGAACCTCCTCTAGGCCACTGGTGTGGTATAATAATAGGATGACAAGCCTTCTCCTTGAATTTAAATATGTAAAAACAAAAAAAGAAAAAAAGCCTCAAATTTCTCATTATTATTGTCCCACAGTTTGGAGGTGGCTCCTTCTTACTGGTAAGGAGGCAAGTATTGTCCATCCCAATATCAGATTTCTCTATTGACGGTTCATTATGTGAAGTTGCGAGTTAAAACAAAAAAAAACCTTTGTTTATATGGTAGAATGAAAATTTTGTGTTTACATTTTGCATTTTGTAGAAGACTGGAATTGTCTAATTTTCTTTTCATATGTGACTGAAGCTCTTGAATGGCTGATTACCCGTGTGGGATATGGGAATGAGGTCTTACATGGATTCTAGAAGCAATGAGTAGGAAACATATTAAGTAACAAAATAATTGCAGTTGGAGAACCTTAATGTGGAATAATTTCACATAATTATAGGAAAATATTGGGAAACAAGTTTCCTGGATGTTTCAGAAGAATTTTATTTTTAATAGATAAACTTGTGTTTGTTGAGCATATCCGTTCATTGAAAAGTTTTAAATTTAAAATGGTTTACCAGAACTTTCTAAATGGATATTCACTATTTTCCGAAAGCTGTTTGCTCATGATGCAGATTTTCTGTTTAAGAAAGAAATTTTGTTGTAATTTTTGTATGATCGAGACTCATTCTTTCCTGTGACTCTTTTTCATGTAGATGAAAGCGCTGCCTTGGATGCCTTGCAAACATTGGCGGATCTATCTCTGATGATGCCAGCATCGACAATAGAATCTGGTAAATTGATGCTCTACTAGTTTTATCTCTCTTATCTCTTTCTCTCTATGTGTGTGCGCGCGCTTGTGTTCATAAAAAAAATGTATGCGCGTGTACCAATATGCATATAAGTATAATACATGTCTTTCTGTTTTTGTATATATTGTAATTTCAACTACGAGTTATGGTTTTGTCAATGTTATTCAGTGTGACTTGAAATTTGTTTGTTTCTTGTGATCTAATGTTAAAATTCAGGGCATGACAAAGAACTCTATATGCTTGTTTACATTGCATTGTTTCATGGTTTCAGATTTCAATAATTTTTCTTTTTTCTGATATACTGGGGCGGAGGGAGGGGGGGACTTCCCAATTTTTTTTGAAACCTCTGTTAATAATACATAATTTAGGTTATTAATTGTAATTATAGTAGGAAAATTAAAGCTGGCCCCCCCTAAATTTTTTTGAAATTTGTTTTAATAGTATATATATATTTATGGTATTAATTGTGGTTTTAGGTAGAAAAATTAAATAAATAATTGTAATTCTTTTCATTTTTTCTTCTCATATTGTACATAAACATGTTTTTAAAAGTATACATTACAAAGAGGGTGGAAATTTTTTTTTGGCCCCCCCAATTAAACATTCCTGGCTCCGCCCCTGGATATACAGTTGATGTTTTGAAGGCAGGGAATTATCTTAGCCCTTGAAAAGCTGAGGAATAATGATTAATCATAAACGAAGGAATGGTTACGACAAATGAAGTGAACCAAGAACAAAACAAGAATCGCGACTGAAAGGTAAACACGCCACACACGAAGAACACAAAGATTTACGTGGTTTGACACAAGTTGTGCCCACGTTCACGGTGAAAATTCAGTGAAAGATTTTACGATGCAAAAATCAGGACATTAGAAGTTTCAACCCGAAACCCTAACTTTCGCTCTCACTCTCTTTTCTTTGACCTTTAGTGTTTCTCTCTATCCCACTCCAAACCCTTAATGCTCTTATATTTTGGGCTACAAGAGAGTACTAAATAGAGTCCATGATCCGCAAGCAGAAAACGAGTTAAAGAATTTTCCTCGGGGCTGATGCCCCCGAAACCCTTTTCTGGTCAACTGGGTCGAGCTGAAACAAAATTCGGGTCACAACATCACACAATGTTTTCCAAAGAAACTATGATCAACCTTCCTGTGATGGCTTTGGGACAATTTTTTTTTTTGACAAGAAACAATTGAAGCAAGCATACAGTAGAAATGCACTGTTGTCCATTTGAAATATCAAACATATAATTATAAAAACGAAGGAAATCTTCCTATCTTATGTTGATGCAGGAAAAAGCCATGCTCTAAGTATCACAAAGTCAGGACATGGACGTGATATGACATGGATATCTGACACTTCAAATTATTAAAAAGTAGATATGAAGGAAATGTTCTATTATACATGACAACTAAAAAACTTTATGACATGAAATGTTCTATTATATATGACAACTAAAAAACTTTATGACAGGAAATGTTCTATTACACATGACAACTAAAAAACTTTATGACGAAGGAAATATTCTATCATATACAACAACTAAAATTCTTTTTGTAATTTTCTAATTTCTATACTAGGAATTTCATAATATGAACATGGAGTTTATGCAGATATCAAATAAACTTTCAACACGCACACACACAATGTAGCAATAAATGTCATTATTTCAAGCACTTAGCCAACACATCCCTAGCAAGACACATCCTGAACACTTGGTTCACACATTCTAAACACTCCAAGGCTCCAAGCACAAGTTTTATATAACACAAATACATCCAAGAGTAGTCAGCTTGAATAATCACAATATGAACTCTCCTTAAAGAAAAATTAAAGTTGTACACATGGTTTCAAGCATGCAATAAATTTTCATATATATAGGATAATAAATTGTGATGATAAAGTAGGAAAGTAGTGATATATATAATATAATACTCTTTTCGCATTCCAATAGCTTCATCTGCTAAATTATGTAACTCTTAACATATAAGTAAATTTTAAAATTAATTAAATTTCTATATTTGTATTATTCAATAAACACATAAAAGAAATATATAGCCGTATCCACACCGTGTCCATGTCCTACTCCTTTAGGATTTTATGTGTTGCGTATCCATGTATCAGGTCCATGTCCCATGTTTTTGCTTGTGCTACTTAGTTGGTAATTTACTCCAACAACAGCTTTCTTACTCTAGCTAACAGCTTGTGGGATTCGGTTGGTGATTAAATCTATTGTAAATACTCCTTTCAACTTTGATATTACGAATTATGGGCAATGCGTGATATTCTTTTTGTTCATAGGGCCACCTAGGGTGGTTTGTCCTCTCATGGAGATTTGTGAGTTTGTCCTCTAATAAGACCCACCTTAGGTGGTCCAGTGTCTCATGGAGATTCATTATTCTTCTTTGGCAGTATCTTTATGTCTAGTCGTGTATTGTTGCTGATTGTTCCACTCTTCTCTTTAATGGAGGAGGCTTTGAATTTATTTGAGTGATGAAACTTAAAATCATGTTGTATGTCAACCTAATATGTGGGTTTTAAATTGCATTCTGGAGTTGTTTTCGCGCATGATGTTTGGGTATGCAATTTATACTATTGTTTTTAATTCATTTTATTTTTTGGGTTAAGAATCCTCTGAGCAGTTGAACGAGGAAAATCCAACTCTTGATGTAGCTGATAGGTCTAGTGTGCCCGAAGCTATGCCTGGGAGCCATGGAAAAGACGAAACCAAACTGTTGGGTGTTAGAGAAAAAGCCTTCTATGCATTTTCTGGAGCTGAGGCTTCTATGTCTGGAAAATCTAAACTTGGAAGGGACTCTGCAGTCATTGCTAATTCTCTTTCTGAAGGAGAACAGCAACCTCAGTCCAGCAGTAAAGTGTGGAAACGAAAACACAAATTCTCCTCTTTGAAGGTTTGTAGAGATTAGAACTCTATTAAATGGAATCTTCTTTAGGTGTTTGGTTTTATTATTTGTTTGTTCTTTTTTTTTTTTTTTTTAATTTATATATATATATATATATATATATATATATATATATTTATCTTTTCTCCCCATTGCTCTTTTTATGGGCATAATTTTTTTTCTTCATGGATTGATCTAATGGTCACACCAACTTCTCATACGATCTGTAGATCTAAAATTTGAAGCTCGTACAATTCTTATTTAAATGAACCTTTGGAGATTGCATTGTTAAATGTTTCTGTAGAAGCAAATAGTTTTTTGTTCCTGAAAACAAGTATTTTAATCTCCAAGTGTCTTGCATAAGTCTTCTTCTTCTTCTTCGTACTATGGATTCATGGATTTCGATATTTACATATGAGACATTGTGCTGCTATTGGAGTATTTAAGGTAGGAGGTGAATGACATCTTTAATTTTTACCCTTTTCCCTTTTGGCAATTAGATTTTAGAATCATCACTCTCTTTGAGGGTTAAATAGGTTCTGTAGTTTCCATGTTGATTCACATTTCTTTGTTTCCTATGCAAATGTTTCTCAGGCCTTTTCTAAAGAGGATGAAAATTCTGTCTTCAAAGCTAAACGTACTGGTCAAAATTTTGCTCCTTCAAAACAATTGAAATCATTCAAAACTGCAGAATGTTCTTCAAATAGTGATCAGCAATCAGGGATCGATTTGGCAGTATCAACTGCGGAGGCTCCTGCTAGAAGCCAGGTCAACTCTCTAACCAAACAAAGAAGTAGGCGTAAGATGGATCCAAAGAGAATGTCAATCCAAGACGGCATGATGTCCCGTGAAATTATTTCAAAAGATTTGCCTAATAAATACTCTACTTCACTCAAGGAGGGAGTATTCTATCGGAAGGTTATATCATCCTCTGTATATTAATCAGTTTTCCTAGAATGTGAATCTATATTAAACCTCATATTGAATTTGCAGGATATGCTTTCTTGTTGTCTCTCATCGTACATGGTTCGGAGGTGGTGCACGTTTGAGTGGTTCTATAATGCAATCGATTACCCTTGGTTTGCTAAAAGGGAGTTTGTGGAATACTTGGATCATGTTGGACTTGGACATATTCCTAGACTAACTCGTGTCGAGTGGGGTGTCATTAGAAGGTACCAGTTTGTTGACTCTGTAATTATCATTGTTCATAACAGATCTTATTAATATTTATTTCCTTATCCATTTAGCTCCCTTGGCAAACCTCGGAGATTTTCTGAACAGTTTTTGCGTGAGGAAAAGGAGAAGCTTTTGCAGTACCGGACATCTGTTAGAAAACATTATACTGAACTTCGAACTGGTATTGGGGACGGACTACCAACAGATTTAGCACGACCATTATCTGTTGGACAACGAGTAATTGCACTTCATCCCAAATCAAGAGAAGTTCACAATGGAAGTGTGCTCACCGTTGATCGTAACAAGTGCAGGGTTCAGTTTGACCTTCCAGAGTTAGGGGTTGAATTTGTGATGGTGATGCATTCTTTACAAAATTATTCTGGTCATTCTTTTGTCTTTTTTATTTTCCCATATTGCCCTGTCCAGAAGATGTTCTCAATTTGCACCATTCTAGCACCAGGACAAGTAAAACAGATTAAATGCAATATTTCTAATGGACATTTCATGTCTCCTTTAGTAATGTTAAACATTACCTATATTTCGCAGACTTTCTTACTTTTCTCAAACTTATCACCATTACTTATTTATTCTAAAACCATATAATTGTTGAGACGCTTATGAGTTGCTCATTTGTTGAACTTCCCCATTGCTTCTGCTGCACTGATTGCTGATTGCTGACCTTATAGTAATTCAACCTGATATGTATAATTTTGATCAGATTTGGCAAGTTGTCTTGCTATAAAGTTACAATTTTTTATGATGGTACTCCCATATTAACAATTACAGTAAAGTACTGCTGCTTTGCTTGCTACTTACCATATTAATTAATTATATTTTGTTAAAAAAGGTTTCAGTTTGAGAACCTGTGGACTTACCACTCTCTCTCTCTCCAGTTGCCATGGTTATTAACACGGTGTCATTAGTAGTTTACCTAATCATTTCTTTCCTTTTCTAAACTACTACTTTTTTCTTCCCATTTTGTTAAAAGATATAGAAAATATAAAATAAAAAAATTAAATAAATAAGCAGTGTTCTTTTATTCAAAATGCCTCGTGATGTTCAGCCAAATTTATGCTTCTGTAATTGCCCCCTCGCCCTCCCTCTTCTCTTTCTTCCACCAAAATGATGCACTGTCTGCAATTTTAACTTTTATTTGATGTTGGTCAGGCATTGGTATCAAATTATTATTCCATATAAGAACTATCTACCGCTTCCCATTGGAGTGACAGTGGATTATTGATCTTTAATTGCAGGATATTGATTGCATGCCTTTGAATCCATTGGAAAATATGCCAGAAGCTCTAAGGAAACAGCACATTGCATTTGACAAATTTGTCATCGAATCAAGAGGATCAAAAGCTGGACAATCAAATATTGGTGGCCCTATGGTTTTTGCTCCTATTGGGCATCTGGATAATGCATGCAGTCCTATGCATACTGTGAAAAAGGAGAAGGTTGGTATTCGTATAAGGCTATAACCATTGAAATTTTCTAATTCCAAAACTCATAATTCAATTTATTGCAATCCACTTTCCAGTACGGACTTCTTTTATTGTTGGTGTTTGTCTCATTATGACAAGAATATCTTATTTTTACCTTGTGTCTGTTTTTACTTTTTTAGGTTGTATTTATAATTGTTAGAACTTTTTTTTCCCCCTTGGCAATGATTAGAACCTTCACCAGTTGAACCTGTTAAATTTGATGACCAGAAAGCATGCATACAAGCTTTGCGTTATAATGGATGCAACAGTTTTGTGGATATTGACTGTAGGTGTTTGGACTGTGAAAATGAAGAATTAGGCATTTAGTTGAGTTTGTTAACTAGTAGTGTATGGACAACTGTAGTTTTAATGGATTGTTTTTTTTTTTTTTTATAAGTAAAATTTATTGAAAGACGCTCCAAGGGGTAGCGGAACCCAAAGGACAACACAAGGCTAAATAGCGCCTCAAGCCTTCAAAGAGGCCAAAAAAACAATGATCTCCTCAATAGATCTATAATCTCTCCCAAAAAACCCAACAAAAAAGAGTGGAAATAATAGAAAACTTAAGCATAGCAATCGGCTTCTCCTTTCCATCAAAATATCTTTGATTCTGCTCGAGCCAAATGCACCACCAAATACAAAGAGGCGTAGCCCTCCAAGCATCCTGAATGAGGGCCCCCACTGAAAAACCTCTTCAAGCCTCAATCAGCCCTCTGGAAGAACAAGGCATGACCCAAGGGATCCCAAACAAGCCAAGCATCAAATCCCAACAATCCCTGGCCATAACACAATGTAACATATATATATATATATACACACACTTCTCATTTGTTTAGGTAGAGTGGAATATTTTATGTCTCTTCATCAAAATTTTAGTTTCTCTTCAGTCATTTTTAATGAATATTGATTCTCTTTGGTGGGTGACAATGTTATTAGTAAAGAAGGAACATAGATTACAAGCTGGGGAGTTAGGTGATTTGATAATGATGGGGAAATTATAAGTCTGTCAAATGGAAACTAGGACACATAGTTCCACACCAACTTGATGGATATTCCTTAAAGAAGCAGGCACTTTTAAGGAGTCATGTCCATGTAGGACACGTGCTGAATATGATACTTCTTGGACACATCTTAAACATGTCTATAATATAAGGATAATTTTTTTAATTTCATAGAGCCATCAATGTCATATATTATTGAAGATTTTCTTCCACTGATTCCTCCATCAAATCTTCAATACTCCCCCTCAAGTTGGAGCATGAATTCCCAACTTGTCATTGAGATGACGAGTAACAACAAGTGTGAATGATGAAGAGAGAAGAGAGAAGACGAAGAATAATGCTACCGAACACACCGACAGCCCAAACAAGTCAACAAAAAACTGCCGGAGAAACGGCAAAGGCGAGGACAATACTACCGAACACACCGGCAGCCCAAACAAGTTGATAGAAACTGCCGGAGGCACGGCAAAGACGAAAAGAATGCTACTGAACACATCGGTAGCCCAAACGAGTCAATAAAAACTGCCGGAGACACGGCAAAGGCGAAGAACATTAATGCCGAACAAACCAGCAGCCCAAACAAGTCACAAATAGCACCGAGAAATCCTTAGCAACGTTTCAGATGCTAAGGGAATACCCCAAAATAGGGGTCCGAACATAGGAAGAGAAATTAGGCTCTGACACCATGTTGTAAAGCATAAAACGGAAGCGAAGAGATAAATAAAACAAGTAGAACACACATATATTACGTGGTTCAGCCATTAGGGCCTACATCCACGGCACAAAGAGCCCAAAGGGCTACATCACTTTTATAATACTCTCTCAATTCATACACAATACAATGGTGGAGGCTCCTTTATATAGGAGAAAAAGTTATGAGAATGGAAAGAATTAGAAAATAGGAAACAAGGAGGATTTTTCTCCACTAATTCCTCTAGTAACACCATATCTTCAATATATATATATTGTGTTCTTAGAATGTCTTTGTTATGGTAATATGAAAATTTGTAACCCAATCAATCAAAATAATCAATAATCACCCATAACTTATGGGTGATTATTGATTATTTTGATTCATGGGTTACAAATTTTCATATTACGCTTACCGAGTAAAATTCACTTATTCTAAAGTAATGTTTGTCATATATACTATAATTATATATAAACATATACTTTTTCGTTGTCGTATCTTTGTTGTTTCCATGCTCTAGTTTTTAAAGATTTGTGGTGCGTTACTGCTGATTGTCCGCTTATGTCGTGTCTTAACCGGTGTTCATGCTTCAATTAACTCCCACTCATAACTTTAGGCTTATGAAAACCTGTAAAAAATAGATATTCTGTTTTGGTAGTCTCCTCTTCTTTCTATTCTGGTTCCATTATGATCAATGCACACTCTTATAATCATTTGTCCAGATTACCCAGAAAACTACCTTGTACTTTAAACAAAAGCTTTCATTTTCTTTGAAAAATGAAGAGAGATGAGTAGTATTCCTTAGATGGTAATCTTAAGCTATCTTGCAGTCAAACAGTCTTCAAATGAATATAAGTTTGAAGTTGTTCTTAAATTGTTTTAATTAAAATTTAAGTTCTATGTGGATGTGGTGTGATGGCCCAGTGGTAGTGCACGTGTTGCTTGTGGCCAACGGTCCAGTTTCAAATCCCCACTCCATCAGTAAATAACTATTTAATTAAATTATTTAACTTATCAAAAAAAAAAAAAAAAAATTTTAAGTTCTGTGCTTTTCTTGAATCTCCTCCATGCTTCCATACCTCTCTCCAAAGTCTTAATTCCTTCTCTTTCAGGTTACCACTCTCCTAAGATCCTAAAGTTTGGGGATTTTATGCCAAAGGGAGATAACTCCTTCGGCACTCTCCAGTTACCAATAATACTGGCGTGTGCAAAAAGGTGAAAACACAAGAAAAAGGAAAATGACCAGAGTAAACCTATATAATTGGTGGTTGCTGTATGCATCATACTAATTGGATTTGTTCTCACTTCTCTGGAACAAGTCATTTCTGTTTGCCTCTGTCAGTGTTTTGTCCAGGCAAGAACTTTGACTGTATGAGGTGCCCTTTGATTTGTACATGCTTCTCTCAGGTTAAACTTGCCGTACCATTGGGGGTGAGGTGGCATATTTGCTGTGAAAGCACATCTACTTTGAGGAGATATTATTTTTTCCTTTTGTCCATATTGGATCTGTAGATGGTTGAATCAGTATAGAATTGGACACTTTTATGTCCAAGTCTAAAAACACGGTACTAAGAAATCTTTTTTGCACAGCTGCCACACAAGAAACTAAATAACACAAAACTATAAGCAATTTTCTCTAAATTTAGGAATAATCATGAGAGTACTTGTGGTAAGTTTTTTACTGACATTGATCAGAAATTAAAATAAAACACTTGAAACTTACATTTGTTGTTCTAACTTAAATCCAAACATATAATGTTTTCTCCAGAGAACATAGATTAAAATATAATATATTAAACTTAATATTTTGTTGTTTTGAATTTATTCTGAACATTTAAGTTTTTGTGTAGGTCGACACAAACCATGCCACGTCACGAGCTATAGCAGCAGCGGTTGACATTGTTAGTGCACAGCAAGCAGCATACAGTCAGCCTTCTATGGTGGCACATATCCATGCAAGGGAAGTTGATGTATGTTCTCTTTCTGATCTGATTTGTGCTTTAGGTGAAAAGGCCACAGTTTGGTGTTTATGCAATTGGTCTGTGTGTGTGTGTGTAAACGCCAGCTTGATGTTAAGGAATAGTTTGAATGAGGCTTGGATGGTTGTGATGGTAATGGTCCATCACAACCCTTATATTTTCTTAATGTTTTTTAGCTCTTTCTTTCTATTATATTTTCTTACAATTATTTTATTGTGTCCATAAATTTAGGTTTTTTGTTCTTTAATGAATAAATGTGTATCCTGTATGCGTTTGATTCTGATTTCCTTTGTTTATTTATTTTTTACTTCATGTCTATCATCTCTTTTCTGCTTGAGCTTCAATAATGTACCAAGTTCAAGAGGATTAAGGATGCCATAGGCATTGCATAATGATTGGTTGGATAGGATGTGCTGAATATTTTAGCTACATTTACACCTTTCAAGAAGACAAGAATTATCTTTACGAGATTTTTTAAACAAAAATTAATTATTTATTAAATATGCAAGTGACCAGACTTGTGGTTCCGTGAACCATGTTCTTCAGAGTTTATTAAAATACCATTCTTATGTTCACCTTGCAGGTTTCTTCTGCTACGCTTAAACTAAGGAAACATAACACTTATTCCGCTTCCCGAACTCCTTGGCTGAAGCCTCCAGCCGTTTCAAGTGGCCCTGACCACTGTTCAAGTAATTATCAGGAGTCAGGATCTAATGTGGTTGAAATTGTAAAAGATTCAAGATGTAAAGCTCATACAATGGTAGATACTGCTCTTAAGGTACATGACTCAGACTTCTGCTCTCTCTCTCTCTCTCTCTCTCTCTCTCTCTCTCTCTCTCTCTAAATTTACTCAGCTTAAGTATCTACTTCTGGTAACTTCTGCACTATTGCTGCACCTCTTTCTGGATATCTAGTTTTTCTACCTACCATTATGTATTTTGAAAAATATAAGTTAGCATTTTGTGCTATGTATCCTTATCTTGGGATCCAAGGGTTTTTACTTTTAAAAGCATTTGGGTGGGCTATTAGTGTAAAATTTGTTGATTATCACATCATCTGACCAGTTGATGAGTTTTGTCTCATTATAATAATTGTTAAGTTGTGATTGTTTTTGTTGTTGTTATCCAAAAGGAAGCATGGTACTGGGATAGTAGGATCCCTCCATTATGCTGTTTTTTTGAACTTTCTGGGTTTTGGGAGTTGGTAATATTGCAGTTATAGGGCACATATTTTAGTTATTTATATTAAACAGGGTTGGTTTGACTTGAAAGTCCCGTAGCTTCATTATAAGGCTATGCCGGGGAATTTGGCATGAAGGGCTACTTTGGCTGAGGGCGACATGCTTCTTTCTTTTTTCATGGAAGTCACTATTTTATTGCTCGGTTTGGGATGTGTAGGCTAGCCAATCATCCAGATCGCTCTCAATGGATTTAGTCCTATGTGTAGCTTACGAATACAAAGCTGGTTGATCATCCATGAATTTTGGCAATTTCCCCATTGTAATTGCAAATAATCATTTTCTCAAACATTGTGGTCGTCAGTCGTCTAATTGATGGCTGGACAGACAATAAACCAAAAAGTTATACCGATGACGCAACTATATGATCACTTGTTTAACCGTGAGACATGTATTTGTTGTCCATATAAATTATTCATGTTACACTGATTGATTTTGTGAATTATGAACCAGAAGTCATCTAGCTATTGTTATAGTAGAGTGTAGATTGATGTTGTTGATTATCCATCACGATATATTTGTTTGTATATGTACTTCAAATGTGAAACATGTTTAGCTTGCACTTAATGTCAATAAATATTTCAGGCAATGTCGTCAATGAAAGAAGGGGAAGATGCTTTCACAAGGATTGGAGAGGTTTTGGATTCTTTAAATAAACGAAACCTCTCACTGAATCGTTGGTCATCGGTGGTGAAATCCCCTGAACAATTTAATAGTGGCGTGGTTAATCAACCTCAATTGACTTCTTCCAAGTCGGAGCTACCATTGATGGGTCATTTATCTGGTCCCAAGGGGCCTAGTGATTCAGACAGGGTTGAAGCTCAAATTCCATCAGAGCTTATCACTTCATGTGTCGCTACTTTGCTGATGGTACAGGTAAATTTGAGTCCTAAAGCAAACTATTCTTCGATGTTAAACTTATGAACATCCACGCTTGATATTAAGTATTTTGTTTTATATTCATACACACATACATACATAAATACATATTTTCCCCCTTCATTAAGTCCAACATCTGTTATGCTTGAAACTTCAATCTAAACTGCATTCTTTCTTGCTGAAGCATTTGTTTGACTTCGATGCCCAAAGAATACCATCTAAATTGTTCTCTCATTGCCACCAAATAGAGTTACCACCACTACCTAACAAACACACATTATGGGTTTTCCTTTCCTGTTTCTTTGGCCGGACACCACTCGTTCATCTTATTCTGCTCATTGGCCGATCAGCTTTAACCTGTGCTGTATCTGATGTTAGATCACAATAGCCTATGATGTCCTCTGTCTCGTCATTTTATCTTCACGTATGCTTATATCTTCATTCATTGCTTTACATGGCACATGCCCCGCCATTTCTTTTCTTTTGCGGTTACTTAAATTTGCAACTACTTGTGATCATCAAGTCCATTGCCTATGTGCAAACTTTTGCACTTACATTGTTTTACGCACTACCTTATGCCACTGTTAATTGTCTCATCTTTTTCGGCATAAGACATGGCGAAATTTGATTTACATCACTTTCTTGAAATTTGCAGATGTGCACTGAACGACAGTATCCGCCAGCTGATGTGGCGCAGATGCTGGACTTTGCTGTTACAAGCTTGCATCCATGCTGCCCTCAGAACCTTCCGATTTACAGAGAACTACAGATGTGCATGGGAAGAATTAAAACGCAGATATTAGCACTAATGCCAACTTAAATGCTCTCTCTGCTTGTTCAAATCGGAAAATCCCTGTATCTATTTTCAGTTTCCAGATAGTTTTCTGTACCTTTTTCTTTTTATTTCTACCATATCCTGTGGTGATGGACTCTTCCAAGAGTTACGGTATCAAAAATGAATCTTCTTTCATCAAGAGTATCCTTTGCATCTCTTTTCTTAATCCTTGTTTTAATAAACGTATATTAACATGAGATCATCACAAATCCTAGAAGGAAAAAGGTGTATTTACACGACATAATTGATTAAAAACAAAAAAAAGAGAAAAATGAAAGGAATTTTTTCTTCTAAACCTCATATATATACACACACACACACACACACCTAGTTGTGAGGATGAGAAATGAGGTTGGGATAGAATACGTTATGTAGTTGTAGGGTTTACTGTATAGGTGGTTGAAAAGGTCGCGATTTTTATGGGCGGCTTAGTTGTTGGTTTTCCACTATCCAAGTTGAAGGCTGTGCCCTAAAGAGAGCTGAAGTTTTGCAGCTACCTCCATTTCCAAATACTCTGAGCTTACCTTCTAAAGATCCCAATCGCAACCAACTATGAGAAGCACACCTTATTGACACAACCACCAAGGCCACCCTTCCTGGTTGTGTTTGTTGCAGTTGATCATATAATGAACGCCAAGCACCACCCAACCTACGGTGGAGCAACTATGATTTGGCAGCCATTAACTACCACTTTCAAAACCATCGCCACCATCAACCACAAAAATTAGAGTTTGGTGGTGTTTGATTACTCAATTCAGTATTTAATTCTGAATGTATTTAAATTAAGTGCATTTGATAATGCACTTTGAATATAGCTAAAAATAGTAAGTACTGCTTAAAATGGGATAAAATTTTAAGTGACTAACTGGATGATGAATATTGAAAATTCAAAAAGATTTCAAAACATATTTATTTTTTAATGACTACTTAAAAACTTCAGGGTAACTTAAAATTTCGTACTTAATTTTCAATTTTATCAAACAGCACCTCAGTGTTTCATATAATTGTACCAAAATTAGAGTTGTGTGTTTCATATAGTTTTGTATTAGCATTTAAATCACGACGCAACTAACTAAACCCATTTTTAATTTTTAATTGGTAAAATATAAACACTTCTCACAAATCAAAATTTAAATTAAAAAAAAAAGAAAATCAAATTTCCATAAGTCAAAGTAAAAATCAAGGCAGTAGACAGTAGAAAGTGAGAAGAGTTTCTATTGGTGTTTTTCTTTTTAATATTTTTCAAATCAAGGGTTTATTTTGTCTTTTAACTAATAAAATTGTACTTAAATTCTAAGACACATAAAGTGGGAGCGGGAATGGGAGCGGGAGCAAGAGAGCAAATTCGAAAGTGGGAGCATGAAAGCGGCATAATTAAGTCATAAATATTGAGAATTTGAGTTAGATTGCATACGGAGCGTGAGAACGACTCCCATTAAGAAGGATTGTGTGACTTAGCTTCAATCTAATAAAAGTTAGTAGATCAACGATTTTGAATTAAATTTTTAAAAAGGTTCAATGTCAAAAAAATACAAAAATATGGCAGTTAATAATAATTTAAGAAAATAGCTATCAAATTTTAATTAAAAAAGCCATGAAATTTATAAAAATAAATAAATAAAAATTGGTAAACTATGAAAATTTGAGGATCAACTTCTATACTGGTATATAAAAATTGTTATGTAAATTTCTACATCAGAGAAGTCAGTATGTTTTATAATTCGAAAAAAAAAAAAAAAAAAAAAAAAGCCCTTCTAAATCAGTGTGTAATTATATACCCAGAATTACGAACAGATGTGTCATTTCATAATTAGGGTTTATGGGCATGAAAGTTCGTAGTTTTATAATTCTTGGACTAATATTACATAATTTTGTAATTTATTGTTAAATTGACGACCTTGTTCTGAAAGTTCATAATTTATAATATTTCATAATTGAAGATTAATTGTCATTTGTCCACAGATTATATTAGAGGAAGAATTTATATTTTGAGGAATTAATGCTTTTGGAACTAACATGATTATCATCCTATTAAAAATTCTAATACTCCTTTAACCTTTTTCTTTGAAAATGATGCATATAATCAATCAACCTAAATCTAAATTAATAAATATAAATTTAAACTATATTATTTTAATTATTGAACCTAGATATCCATTCACTTAAACTATATTCTTTTAATTATTGAACCTAAATCCATTCACTTGAATATAAATTTAAACTACGTTCTTTTAACTTTTTTGGATATAGGAATTTTGAAATATTCACCCAATTACAAATTCAATTTGCTTTTTTTATTAGTAGGAAATTATACAAATTTCATGCAAAAATTTGTCAATTTAAATATGTAAATAAGCTCAGATATAATTGTCATATTGTATTACTCAACATCATCTCAATTAAAATTCTGCTATATCTATAAATATTTGAGTTTGGAAGCTAATTGGTTGAGTAACCCAAAAAATGAGTTACTTACACACTCAACTCAGTGAGACCATTGTTTATAACATTATGCTTATGGCCCGTTTGCCAGGCAAAGCGTTTTGGTTTTTTTATCAATACCAAAACAATAGTTTTGTGTTTTATTGAAGGAGTGTTTTGGACAGAAATCAAAATCATATTTGGTAATGAAAATTTGTTAAATTCAGATATTTGTTTTAGTTTCTCCACTATAATAACAAAACACGCAATATCACCGATTTGCTGATATGAGTGGGTCAAAAAATCTAATATGTTATGAACTACTTCAAATCAATATTAGTTGTCCCAAATATGATATAGACTCAAATTTGAATACCAATATCAAAAAAATAATATCATTACACATGTCAAACGGGCCCAATTAACATTGAGTGTAGTGAAATAGCTCGGTGGTAGAGTATTATTGCTCGTGGCCAAAGGCCCAAATTTGAGTCCCCATCTCACATATATGTCCGTAAATAAAAAATAAAAACATTGGAGATATATTCATTAGATTGTTAAACTGACAATTTTTTTTCTTTTTTTTTTTTAGGAAAAAAAATGACATACTTCAATCTAACTCAAGACAGTAGTAAAAAGTATGAATGATATAATAATATATGTTAAAATCATAAATAAATACAATACCTTACCGGAAAAAATAAATAAATAAATTGATGTAAAGTCATGAAGTTCATAGCCATCAAAATTTTCGAATTGATGAAAAAATTATGTCAAAATTCTGCAAAATTTATATGATAAATTTTTTTATTATTTTTGTAAGCTTAAAGAAACACTGAAGTAAAATGATTAATAAAAATAAAATCTGGAAAGTGCACATAAAATCTTGTCACGTGATAAAAGAAAACAATAGAAATAAAATTATGGTAAATACCTAAAGTCATCTAATCGCAGATTCGTAGGTCATTATGTAACAAACAACTCAGAGTAAATTTATATTATATAAATATATTATAATTTTTAATATTTCTTTGTTTAAAAATATTACTTTTTAATATTTCGAAAACACCGATTCTAACAAATTAGTCTGCTCTCAAGAAGTTGCTCCTCATGCAACAAATCCCTCAAAAAGTTATTGGACTAAATTGGTAAACAAGTATAATTGTAATGAAAAGTTCAAAATTTATTAAATAATGACTAGGGATACTTGTTGTGAAACGAAATATATTAATAATTAATTGTATTTAAATTCATAATATTACAAGAAATTAATTTAAAAAATGTATCTTTAGTATAAAAAATGTATAGATTTTTGATTTTTTTTGTAAATCCGTATTCTATTTTATTAAAAGATTTATAATATCTCTGTGTTCGTTTCGTATTGTATCGTATCGTATATACACCCGTATCTGTACACTAGATGCAAGCACAATATATATAATGTATTTTGCCTGTCCTATATGGCCTATATTTACTCTGGCTGAATGGTAACACTAGCAGTCTCCCTCCAAATCAGAGCTAGAATGGGCAAAACTTGATTCCTTCTGTCTTGCTTCCTTCCACTCTCAATTCTCTTTTAGATTCCACTTCCTTCTCCCACTTGGCCTCAACTGCTATGCTATATATCGAGTTCCCAAATATAGCTTTATCCTATGCTATGCACCAATCCTAGACAAACTTTCTAGTTCTACCTTGGATAAAAAGTTAATGTCTTTACTGGGAATACCAATTATTAATTTCCTCACTTTATCTTTCCACCAGGGAATCTTCTTCACATTTGTTCTTCTCGATCATGTCCATTCTCTGCTGTCATCTGCTCTTACTTTCAACAGAAATGCAGGTTCTATAATATTTCTCCCCCTTGCCCACAGTAAGCCCAGTTATTATGGGGTCTTAAAGCGGCCATGTGTAAACTCGGACGTCGTGACTTTGACTCTCACAAGGAACAAAAACATTCGGGTTTAAACTTTAAATGATATTTATGTGTGTGGTTTGCGAGTTCAAATAATGTGTGTTAGTAGGGGGTGATTGCACATATTTAAAGTTTACCTTAAAGTTAGAAGTGCAAAGGGCCGGTGGTTGAAAGGGCATACAATATAAAAGGAGAAACAACATAAAGTTAAAAAAACAAGAGGATAAGCTCTCCGGCTCTGATAAAAATCATTGATGAAAATGTTAGGCTTATCATGTAATGTTAAATTTGCTTAATAAAAAATATTAAGTGTAAAGGTAAAGTTAATTTTTTTCCTGGTAAAGGTATTTTTTATATATATTTTTATATTTTTTATTTTGGTAAGGGTAAAGGTAAAGTATATTATGTGTGCAAAAGATGTACAAAAGAATTGGCAGAAGCCAACAAGAGAACAACAGCAGATTACTCAAAACTAAGCTGTACAAAGCTGGTGAAGCAAGAGCACAGACAGTAAAAATGGAATTCCAAAGATGATAGGGAAAAGGGTAAAAAAATAAAACGTGAGAACTGGATTTAGCTAAGGACTTGCAAAGAAAAAACAGTAAGTATTTTTTTTTTTTTTTTTACTGTCAAAAAATAATAAAAAAAAACACAACATTAAGCTAGGGAAGTGGAGAAATGACATGGAATTAAGGACTGTCTAGAGTAGAAAGCTTGTTCTTAAGGGCCATCCATAGCACAAAGTTGTGGTTGGGATGTTTATATATACTATTGAACCAGACTTTAGTACTGCTCCAGTGGACGTATGGGGATGGAGATAACACTCCAATTTTTTTTTTTTTTTTGATGACCGAACTCCCCTAGGTAGGGCCCTTCGGGCCCACCCTAAAGGCACCAAACTGGAAATATTGCAGCCGGCCCCATAGCTACAACACTAGGTTAGTCGAAGGTGATAAATGAGGTAGCAAGGCTCGAACCTGGGCTGATGGGTGCCCAAGCTAACACCTTACCAACTCATCCAACCCCCGGCACTCCAATTTTGGTTGTCAAAAAAACACAAAGAAAAAAAATAATAATAATAAAGAATTTGAATTCCTGTGCCATCTTATGTCTGTCCTGACAACCAAATTAACAAACCAGTTTGGAGAAATAAAGTACCCAAATAGTTCTTTGATTTGTGACAATTTATCAGTGTTCTTTTGAGAATAAAAGATTATTTTATAGTTTAAATTGTAGATTGGGGTTACTGAATGTTCATTTGGTTGTAATGCTTTCACCTCAAAAGATAAAACTGTTCTTGTTTTGTAATTAAGTTCTACAATGTCATCAGATATATGACATTGTTGTCTATATGGTACAACTATTATTGACATGCACATGATCATGACTTATGAGTCTATGATTGCATGGCATGGTATACTTTGACATGTATATGAACATAGCTCTAGGAACCACTAGGGTTTTTAGGAAAAAAAATTAATTGCTTTTGTATATAAGGAGATCAGTTCAACCACACATTGTCATGTGTAATGCAGCAAAATGCTGCACCTGATCCACTATGCCAAGTTGAAGTTGCTGCAGCTCACATGGAGAAGTACTCATGAGCCTACTGCTGTATGTCATAGGAAATAGGCGCACCAAAATGCCGTGCAGCCCCGGTTCACTGTAAATTAATAGCAATTTACTATGGCCAAAGTGCTAGTTGCAGGCAAATCAGGCAGTAAAAATAGGGGATGAAAACCGATGCCGCGATTTCATGGTCTAATCCCATGGAAGAGGCCTCTTGAGTGAGCATTTCTTCAAGAAACTATGGGCATTGTACTGATATTAATACTGTAATTGGTTCAGGAATATCTGAGATTTTTCAGCTTTTGTCTCTCATTCTGTCTCATGTTTCATATCTATCTTTAAAATTTAGTAAATCAGTAGGTCAATTATACCATGAATCATCCAGCTCACCTCATTCAAATATCAGCACAAGTATATATATATTAGCCCAAAAATCAGACGTGTTATTTTTTTTCAATTAAATTTTGAAATGAAGACCCTGGTAAGCATCTGGATATATCACCTCTTTTCTTTTCTGAAACTTTCTGTTATCTTGCTAGTAGGGCAAAAATTCATCTGAATTTATCACCTCTTTTCTTTTCTGAAACTTTCTATTATCTTGCTATTAGGGCAAATATTCTCTTCCTCATCTGCTCCATTGAGAGAGAGAGTAATATATATACACACACAAACACACACATATATGCACACATAGTTGCCAGTGGAAGCTCCATACCAGAAAAGGTCATGAGAAGTTATTGGAGAAGTGGTCCCCTACTGAGATTTCAGAACCCTAGGTTTCATTCTTAAAACCCTTACTCTGAAAGAATTTCTAGTAAGTTCAGGATTTCAGTCAGTCCTTTTTTTATGGGAAGAAGATTGCACAATCCATTTGTATATAGTATAATATAAGCTGGCAAAGATTTAATATATAGGATTTCATGTAAAGCCATCACTGGGGTTCTGGTGTACTTAAAGTAACCCTAACCCTAGTAAATATGAAACATATATATATATGTTTTATTTATTTTTTTAGTTAAAGGGTAAGCTTGTATTAAAATGGTAAAGAATGTACAAGGCTGTCCTAAAATATAGGAACAACAAACTGCACAAGGCAGCAGCCAAACCCTAGCCTGATACAAAGGCTTGGGCCCAAAGATAGCAAACAACTAGCTCAAACTACTAGCAACAAACTACAACGTACACATACAGCAAGTGACATTCCACAGCATACAAGTCCTAGGCTTTTTTTTTTTTTTTTTTTTGAAAAGAAAAGAAAAAAGGGACATTCCAACTCAAGGCAATCCAACCTTAAATGGTAAAGAATGTATATATATGTTGTGTCAAACATATATATATATGTTTTTCTTTTCTTTTTTTTTGATTTTTTTTTTTTTTGCCCCTAAAAAACTTCAAAAGTTGAGGAGATACCACGTACTGCTTGTAGCTATATATATGGGAATTTCAGTGGTTGTTTATTGATTAATTATCAATTCAAGTTTTTTTTTTTTCTTTTTTCTGCAAGTATCTATTTAAGTGTTGTGTATAAAAGAGAAGAATTCTCAAGATTAAAGATATAATTACATCTGTAGTATGAACTACTTCAGCTTCTTTGTTCGATAGGAAATGCTCTAGAAGATATTCATCACTTAGGCCGACCCCACCATTGTCGACCAATAAAAAAAAAAAACGAGTAGTAATTCAATAAAATTAAAGTACAATAATGGAAATATGAACCCGGCCACAGTTTAATGATGTGTGTGTGTGAATTGAAAATCCTTCAGGTGTCAGATAAATGATATATCAGCAAGGAAGTCTGAAATTAATATTAATATGTCTGTATGTTGTAATCATATATGTATAGACTCACAAATCATACTTGAAATTGAAAGACCATACATCAAGAATGCTTAAACTAGTCATTGGTGATCAATTTTCATGGAAAGAAAATCTTAAGTACCTAGCTACTTAATTCAGTCATTGGCTTGGACAAGCTATATACATACACAAACAGTCAAATGATATGTTTATCTTCCTAGAGGAAAGCTCAAGACACTAAAGCAAAATAGGAAAGCTCTAGAGATTCATATATATGATAGTTGCAATAACAAAAAAGGGTAGGAAATTTTTGGTGTTTGTTTGGAAAAATCTTGGAAACAAATGGAGGTGTTCATCGAATAATTTTTTTTAAAAAAATCTTAATTAAGAGAGAGAGAGAGAGAGAGAGAGAGTGATTTCAGTTGGAATTTGAAAATGTCAGATCAAACCTAAATGAACTAAGACAAGTTTTCTTTAAAGTTCAAAGATTTTTGTACAAATCAAGCAGTCTAACAATACAGCATCTTAATTATGTAAAATATATATCAATGTAATACCTTTTGAAATCAAGATAAGATCATTACAACCTTATCTTAAAAAATAATAAAAAAGATCATTTCAAACCCTCCAAATTCATACATAAATCCAAATTACAAGCCATAACACCACTGATCTTTCTCATCACATTTTACATGAAATATTCCTTCCCCTCTACAGAAGAAAACAGAAAGAAATCAACGGGGGAAGAAAGACTAAGCTGAGAAGTTATATATATAGATGGAAAGTTACCTTATAGACTAGTCCCAATTTGTTCATAAAACCAATCCTTGTGATTGAATCTTTACCATTGAAAACTAGCACACAAATGACTGAAAATAGTGCCTTTTGCACCATCTTGTGCATCATCACTAAAAAGACAAGATGCAGCTGTTCAAGATGGCTTTGTGAGAGAGCTCTCACCCTTCTCAATGACTATAAAATCTATTGGAGTTGGAATTGGAGTTGGAGTTTCAGTTTGCTTACCAATTGGTTGGCTATCTTTATGTGTTGTTGCTTCATCTTTGTCTTCAGTGCTAGTACTAGCTGCTTTGTTTTGGTTAGCCCTCTCTCTTTCAAACTCCCTATATTTATACAAATACTTGGATGTAGCCTCAGCATAAGCATCAAACCCTAGTGAACTCAGAGCCCAACAGATGTCATCGCCGTTCACCGTCTTTCGGTTCTCCTTGTGACACTTGTCAGAAGCTTCCCCAGTCACAAAACTTATGAACTCTGTTGCACATTCTTGAATTGTTTCCTTGGCTTCTTTTGAAATTTTGGCACTTGGTGGCAGGGTCTGCTTCATGATCCTGCCCACATTGGCAATAGGCAGGAATTGATCATGCTCATCAACCATTTCTAGTTAGAATCAGCTGATCGGCTTGATCTTCTCAAAAACTGACATCTGTTGCCCTTTAAGATATCGCCTGGTTCGCTTCTATATAGATCTATATACACATGTGAATGTTCATAAGCATATGCATATGACCAATGTGTCATGACTCTAACATGGGTCACACCAATTGGTGGGTCTACATGGTGGATCGCAAAACGTTAATTTAAATCGTTACTCGTTAAGATATCGTCTTATTCGCTTCTATACAGATCTACATATGTGCATGTTCATGCACATATATGTCTATGAACAATGTGTCATGACGTACTCTAACATAGGTCACACCAATTGGTGGGTCTCCGTACATGGTGGATCCCGAAACATTGATCTAAATCGTTGTTCGTTAAGATATCGCCTGATTCGCTTCTATACATATCTACATATGTGTATATTCATGCACATACATGCCTATGAACAATGCGTCGTGACTCTAACATGGGTCACATCAATTAGTGGGTCTAAATGTTGGATCCTAAAACATTTGCCTGAATCCCTATGCTACATTAATTTAGGCCACATCCATGGATGCAAAGTGGGATAGGGGTTTTGTCATAATTATGAAAATAAAAAAATATAAGTACTCATTCCAAATCTTGACTATTAAGCATTAAAAAAATCTGCAACTAGTAAATCCAGGGGAAAGATGTTAATTCCTTGGGGGAATACAAATTCTCATGTAAATTTTTTTTTTTCTTTTTATTTCAAAATAGTAATTCTGGATAAAATGAAGTTTTTTCTTTTAAAGTTGTATAAATCATATGGCAAAGTTTTTTTTTTTTTTTCAGTGAAATGAATATCCAAGTCAAAGTTGCCAAGAAATTATTTCTACATATTTTTCTTGGAATCTGGCAGAATCCACGGATTGGCGTGTGAACAAGTTGAAATTATTTCAAAAGTAACAAATGGAATTGCTTTTGAAAATTTTGAAGCATATATTGGATTAATCCATTGTAGTACAATGGTCCCCACTAACTCCCCTCTTCAAAAAAAAACACTTTTAACTTTTAATGCTCCCAATTTGTCTAAATTTAGTTTTAAAATGCTTCCAATCAAAACAATCTTTTATCTTATCAGAAGAAATGGAAAGTTATAAACTTAATTATTTTAAAAATTGGTCATCAAGTTTAAAGAATGGACTACATTTGTGCACGTTTGCTTGGTTTGGAGTGGGTCCAACCAAAAGTTACAGAAACCTTGTGTTTGATCTAAGTAGGGTTTCTCACTTTTTGGAGGCAAGGAATTTCCTTTCGAAATATAGAATTTTATGGTCTCAATCATGTCATACAACTATGGAATTTCAGATAAAAAAAATGTTATCAATGTCTAAATATGCTTTTCAATCTTTAAATTAATGAAAACAAATACTAGTACCAAATGGCCTTACCATGTCCCTGACTATAGTTAGTTCCATCAGTCCAGCTTCAAATGGTTATGTAGCATGTCATATATCCATGCAATATCCACATGTCAAATGTGTCGAATTTCAAAACAGGACACATAAACACAGCTAAATATTTATATTATTTAATATTTTAATGTAAAATCATAACTTTAGGTAACATAGTGTCTAATATAAGCATTTCATTCGTGTGGAAGCAATAATAAATAAAGTTGAATCATTGGATGTATTTTTTAAGTGTGTATCGAATCAAAAAAGTTAAATACATATTCCATACCCTGTTTGAGTATTGTCTGTTTGACATAGTTACTTCACCAACTTTTAAAGAACTCACGTAATATAAATCTAAATAACCATGATAGCTAACCATGCTTGATCAGATTCTTATATGCCACTAAACAAAGTTCATGCTTAATTAGAAAACTCAATTTATTAAAAAATCTGACAAATAATTTATACTAATATGGATTACTTGCTCTGATTTTGGTTCCTCCTGCATTTTGAATCAATCAAAATGTCAAAATGAGGTAGGGGTAATAATGCAATTTTTTTTATTTTTTTTATTTTTTTAGTATGGGTTTCAGCAATACATACCAAAGATTTTATAACCATCCCTTTTGGGTAACTTAGTTACAGATTTTTATGCTAAAAGTCTATGGTTCTATGCTATACAAAACTTCCATTAACAGTAATGCTCCCCAAATGGTATGTATAACTTCCTTTAGATATGGTTGTAACTTGAAGGCCATAATTTAATTGTATCACATAGAAGGCTATGGCAATTACTTAAGCTTTTCTTTTGTTTTTTTTTTATATGTGTGTGTATATATATTAGTATATTGTCATCCTAATCACTTATATCAATATATGTATATGTTGTGTACTTTTCAATCATAAATGTGTCTCTTTTTGTTTGTTCAATAGTTAGCTGTAAACTAGCCTAATAATCTACAATTTGAGACATATACATATATTTCACTTATCATGAGATGTGAAAAATCTGAAATAAAGAAGTTATCCTCCTTTGTCCCTTGTTTTCTAAATAAAAACTTAATTTTAAAATTTTAGCAAAAAAACTTCACATGCATTTTTATGCATCAATCAATCATCATAATTACGAAAAATAAAATTAAATTAGTCAGCCATCTAAATAAAATAAAACACATATTACTAAGGATTTTGTGGCCTTGTGTATCTCTCTTATCTCTCTCAAAGTGGATGGTGAATTTTTAAATCTTCTAAAAGACAAAGTGGATGTGTAAGTCTGAGTGATGTGTGTGTTTTTTACCAATAAAATTAAAAAGAAGTTAATAAAAAAACATCCACACTGTTGTTCCAATTCCTTGTGTCGTAGAGATTTGCCTTTGTGAGAATCAATATATTGTAATTATTAAGGTCACCATTATAAATGTACCTTCTTTAAAAAAGTACATTCAAAGTATAATATAAAAAGATATACAAAGCTTCTCTTATTGACACATCTAGGGTTTGGAACTTTATTAGGGTTCCCCATTACTATTTAGGTATTAAAATAAGTAATAAACAAATGAATAGGGGATGCAAATCCATAAAGGGACCTTGAGAAACCCTAGAACCTTTGATAGTCTTTTGAGGACCTACTTAGAAAACTATTACACTGTGAGTTTCCCTCTTTACACTTTAGAGTAATTACTTTGCTCTAAGGTTCCATATCTACCTACCCTAATATTCATAGGCATCTGATGTGATTAGTTTTTATTTTATAATGTCACTTGAAGAATAATAGTGACTTTGCCTAATTTCACTTTTTTTCCACTCTTTTTATTTATTTATTTATTTATTTTTATCTCCTCTAGGTTTTACTTAGCCTATATGGATGCTCTGAACTTGCTTTGGAGAACATTTTTCTTGCTTTTATTTTTCTTCTCTATGTAAGATTTGTTCTAAGGCCTACCCAAGCAATTCCTATACCCCATCTGAGTGAAAGTTGAAAGGGGGAGAATTTTTTTTTCTTCTTAAAGTACGGCATATCATCTAACTAAAAGTAAACTACATATCAATTTTTGTTCTCATTGTTACTGATATAATATTGTAGAACATTTGCAGTTGCCTCGCTAGTTCAGTGGATTAGTGTCTCCCGTGAATCTTGTACTATCAGGCTTCGACTCTTTATATCTACTAATCTAACATTAACACTTCTTGCCTTGAAAAAAAAAATTGTAAAGCATTTGTTATGGTTTTGTAAAATAAAATACTCGTACCACTTTTTTTTCTTTCTTTCTTTTTTTGTTAGGGTAAATTTGCCCCATTGGGGCTCAAACCGTTCACTTTTCTTTTGAGTATAAGAGGTCATACCATCTAAACCAACACTCTGATAACATTTCACCACTTTGTTGAAGGAAGAATAGGTAAAACAATAGGTAAGCAATTCAAAAACTTACCACCTCATCCACCATTATCACAACACTTAAATCTTAAAATTCATAGATGTTTGGTAAATTGAAGATTTGACTCTGAGTTAATTGGCTCATAAATAATAATCCTCATTGTCTTGGATAGCACTTCCATTCTCACTTTCTTACGATTTTTTTTATAATATCATATCATATTCAAATTATTTAAGTCGAAGATCATACACACTCTTTTCCTAGTGTTAAATTGAACTAAACTATTAGTATCATTTAATTTTATTGTGTGATTAAATTAGACTTTATGGAAGAAGAAAATAAAGAAGTAAAAAAAGAAAAGAAAAATCAACATCAACTTTGTGTTTATTCCATATGAATCATCAAACAAAGAATAAAGATTCCATTTTCTTAAAAAGTTATATGGCAACATTAAAATGACAGCATAACAGGAAAAAGGGAAGAATATTTTGGAAGCATCGAATTGATATTTTAAATTTAAAATTAGAAAAAAAAAGTTTTAATTAAAACTTTAGATTAATTTTTTTATGATTTCACATTCAAGCCCTTGATAAAGTGCTTCTTTAAAAGAGTATTTTATTACTACAATCAATCATATTCAATAAGTGGGCTCACTCATTTTGAACCTGTGGAGGGTTTTAATCATCCTGCTAGAGGAACGCCCAGACTAAGAAGCCCAATCAGATTATCACACACTTGGGCCATGTTTGGTTGGAAAGAAATGGAAGGAAAAGAAAAGTAAAGAAATGGAGAGAGATGATTTTTTGTGTGTGGTGTAAAATTTTGAAAGTAAAAGAAAGAGAATGGAAGGATTTGAAGGGATGCACAAGGCTTAGCATTTCTAATGAAACTTTTTTAATACCACAATTGCTCTTATTTTTTTATGACACAAAATTTATGGATTATGATGGCAAATTCATTAAAATAATTTTATTCCTTTTATTTTCATTTCCACCCTACCAAACATAGCTATGGAATATGAATAGTAGGGTATAATGGCTTAGACTCTTAAATTTTGTTGTCCGATTAACCAAGAATCTTTGTTTGACCTACAGCCAACAATTCAGTCCTGAAAGATAACCAGGCCTGTCACAGCTGGAAAATATGGTCCAATGTCCAACTTTTTGCCATATGAAGTCCTATTGGAAATATATATATGTATATATATATATATATATATATAGCATATTTGTAGAGAGAGCTTTTGTTGAACATGTCAATGGTGGTGGGGCTAGGAGGCCATTGGCTGCCCAAGAGTTTGGCAGCCAGGAAAATGAGGTATTCTATTTTAGAAAGCAGAAAAAGGAAGACGAAAAGACAAAGAAAAACACTTCTTGCTATGAACATCCCTAAGTGTTTTTGGATAACAGGGTGTCCGGTGCTTTGCCCCGACTAATCCACGATACCGGTGCAAGGCGTCCCCACCAACACAAATCGGGTAAAGTTCGGACAATGTCCGCAGGTGTGGCTCCTAAGAAATTGTTTGCATTAGGAAGAATCGATCCCAATACTTGCTTCATAAGGCACCAGGGCCCAAGACTTTTCCAATGTAGGCCAACCCCTTGGGATTAACATTCCTAAGTTGTTTGGTTACTATTTATTTGGTTTTTGAGAGGAAATATTGCAGAAGTGACCTCTCTGCTACAGAATTATCAACTAGCAAAGAACAGCACAAAAGTGGTCATATTCACTATTGAAATAATAATCAAAAGAAAATCATATGTGGTGAATAAATACAGGAAGCATCACATATATACAAAGAAAAAGCCTTGGGCTTTCTTGTATTTCTAGGAACTGAAACATGATTGTCATAAAATCAATACAACATACAAATAAAACAAGAAATGTAGTGAAATCACAGAGATCTAGGAGGTTTCTCTAACAATGCAGACAGAAAAACTTCATCCTTTGATTTGGGAGAAATAACCCACTTGTGTTTCTTGTACCTAAACTGCAGAAACATGTACATGTAGTCATCTAGATCCCTTCTGTTACAAAAGAATCGATCGATCCACAACAACCCTCCCGGCCTCAAAATCCGGTCCCAATCAAAAAGTATAAAATCCATCAATTGCAGGTCAAGCCAGCCATCCATAAAGCCAGTTGTATGGATCAAATCCATCGTGTTATCGAAGAATGGAAGGCGTTGATTCAATGTTGCATACAGAGGAATTAGACCTCGAAGTGCAATCATCTCGTTGAAAGGAGCCCCTAGGTTTAGAGCTGTTGAGATAATTGTAACATTCTGTTCTCTCATCCTTGCAGCAAATGTCCCGGTACCAATGCCAAAATCAAGTCCTACCCTAATCTCCCCCGGCTTAATAGCCAAAACATCTTTCATCAGGAAATCTACTGGCAATGTAGTGTTGGTCACCCATCTAAGCTTTTCTTTTTCCATTTCAAAACATCCCGTACATTTGGAATAACCCCTCTTAGGGTTCTTGCTCGATAAGCACTCAAAGTTCCTGCAATGATAATTGCTCCACCTAACATTTCTACCATCCGGGAGCTTCCACAAGGACTCGTTGATCGAGTAAGGCTTCTGGTAGAGCTTAGAAGCCCTTGTCAAGCACCTCCTCCGGGGCAATGGATCACAACCGTTAACCATAAGCTTCTGTGCAAGAATCCAATCATCTTTACAGTAAGACCCGATGTCATAGTCCATATACTCTTCCAATTCCTTCTTCATCAGCACACAAGCATGCCCTATTGTGTTGTATATCCTATCTGTTCCATATATATTGATCTTCCCAACCCTATTCTCTTTCGGGGTTATATACTTCCGGATCTCCTCAATCACAAAATTGTTAATCAGAGGTTCTTCCTTCACTGTCATGTTTCTAATCCCTTCAACTTTAGGCAACCGGATTTGCCTAAGAGCGATGTGAGCACTATAAAGAGGCTGAATCACCTCTTCCTCTATAAACTTTTTATACTCTGATTTAGAAATGTTTGTTCTATCCATCACACCCTTGTTCTTTTCCATCTGTTGCACTTTCGATTCGAGCTTGTCCTGCAAGCTCTCCATCTTAAGAAGTACTTCCTCAACCCGAGCTGACAATGCATTTATGTCGAAACCCTCATAAACGTCCTTCACTCCATAAAAATGATTGCAAATATCCTCATTTTTCAAGAAGAAACCAGCCGAATAGAATCGAAAGAGACTCGATATGCTTACGATTATAACAAGCCCTCCCAACACAATCTGAAGCCAACCCATTATTCTTGCCAATCTACACTTTGGAAAACATAACCCCCTCATATTTACTACGTAATACTTAAATCTACACACTTTTCTTGCTTGCCCTCAAATATTCACCTCAATCGCCGATAATTTATTTTGGGTTCCTAAGAAAAAAACGAAATGAATTTAAGATTCAATAGTATCAAATTAACAAAAACACAACTAATATGATTGTTGAATATCAAAATTCATTATGAAGCTAAGCTAATTCAACAAATACAAACTAATTTAAATTATTTTGGGTTCCTAAGGAAAAACAAAATGAATTTAAGATTCAATATATCTAATTAACAAGAAAACACAACCAATACGATTGTTGAAATGTTGAATATCAAAATTCATAATGAAGCTAAATTAAATTAATTTGGGTTCCTAAGAAAAAACAAAAAATGAATTTAAGATTTAATTTATCAAATTAACAAAAACACAACCAATATGATTGTTGGATGTATAAATCCTATATAAATTCATACGGAAGCTAAGCTAATTCAACATATACAAACAAAGAATGAAGTTGCTAAAAATTACCAATCTTTGATCTGTGAAAAGCAAGCGATGATGATCGAAAAACGAGTTCATATGCGACGAGCTTTGTGAATCCAGTATAAGCCTCTGTTTCAGATCAAAGTCTACCCTGCTGATTCAATTCTGAATTACAGAAGCCATAATGGTATTTTTAGAAACCCTAGAATTACTTCAAAACCTTGCTTAAATTGTTCACAATCTTAGCTTTAGAGCTGGAAAATCGTGACCTTCAAGCTCTGTGACACGAGTTTCGATGATCACATGTTTAACTAAGCAATTGAAAATCTTTAAAAAGAAGCGAATCTCGTGATAAAACCCTAAAAAACGCTCGATTTAGCACTCGAATATTATATGTATTGTATGTATGTGAAAATCACTATGTGAATATGAAGCGTTGACTGCGAGGTTGGTGATGGTGGGTTAGGTTTTTCCATGACCGAATATCAGCTCGAATTGCGGACAGTTTTTGAAAAACCTTCGACCGTTAAAGTTGCATTCTTGAATTTAATGAGACTGACGAGTGACGACGGGTCATAAATTTTCCCTACCTTACTTGCCTGTGAGGAAACAAAAATAAATAAAATAAAAATAAATAATCACCTTCGGAAAAAAATAATAATAAATAAATTCATATAAATATATATTTATAAATGTAATGTGTATATTAAATAAGGACTTGATTAAAATTTTAGATTCACATGCAGCTAAAACCTCAACTAGTTTAAAGTTTCATCTAATTCGTTCATTAAGCAAATGAATTGAATTTTAATTTAATTATAAGCTCCTTTGATAATCGGACAAATTTTGAATAACGCGTATAAATTAATGAATATGAATTCATGTAAACTCATTTATATTTGTGAAGACAGACTTATATAGATTCATTTTCTTGTTATTATATTATATAAGCGTGCTCATTAGAAGAGTATTAATATTGATTAGTTAGATAAATAAATTTTGTAAGTAAATTAGTTGAAAATGTTTACTTGTAACTTTGTGAACGCAAGCTTAATCCCAATTTGAATAAGAACACATGATTAAATTTGATTCATTATATTAAAAGAATTGAGATAAGTTGAATTCAAACTTTTTAAATTGTGACAGAGAGTTCGAGTTTCATTTCTTAAAAACCATAATGGTATGTAGTGATAAATTTCTAGGCTTTTGAGGTAAATATCAATAAGTTAATGTAAATTTTGGTAGGAAAAAATTTATTGAATACTTACCAGAAAAAAAAAAAAATGAAAATGGAAAAATGTATTGAATAACCTTAAACCATCTTATCAACTTGACGACCCTAAATTAATATCCAAATCATAGGTCAAATTAAAGGGATTTTGAAAATGTTGTAGGAAAATTTTATTGAATACTTACCAAGAAAAAAATATATATAAATAAATAAAAAATAAAGGAAGGAAAAATGTATTGAATAACCTTAAACCATCTTATCAACTTGACGACCCTAAATTAATATCCAAATCATAGTTCAAATTGAAGGGATTTTGAAAATGTTGTATACTGCCACGTGTCCTATGATTATATATTTTTAACGCGAGTCCATCTACGACAGCACATAAGAAGGGCAATCTAGTCCGAACACATTTAAAATGGGGAACCCGGTGAAGATCGCCAAAGTGGACCCATATGTCCTTGAATATTTGGAGCCAATATCGCCTAAAACAATCCAACCATAAACCATTTGAAACCATAAATACTCACCATTCATAATCTACCCCACACTGTCCTAATAACATTTTTTTTTTTTGACAACTAATAAATCTTGAGTCATGCTATTATAATGAAGCCTACTTCATGACCATCATCATAAACAGTCAATCTTTTAGTTGTGATTATGTATTACAAAAACTTATAGTTTAAGAGATAATTATACATTCAATATTTTGTATCAAAATTTATTTACATTAAATTACACAAAAATAGTTGAACTTTTGCATACTCTTTTGACATTATTTTACTAAATTACGTTGCCAACTTTGACACCTCATACAATTTTTTTTTATGTTATTTTGTGTTGATTTATTTTTTTAACGGTAAATAACCTTAATACCATGAAAGATGAAATTTTTATATGAATACAAACACTAAGACATATTCGAAATAATTACAGTGAATAAGAATGCGAGGGCCATGTGAGTGGTGACATCATTGATGTAAGTTAGTGAATGAGACTACTAGGGTCACCAGAGTGGTGACATCATTAGTGGAACTTACACCGTTAAGGGCCCGTTTGGAAAGCGTTATGTGTTATAGTGAAATGCTCTAGTTTAGAACAAAACAAGTGTTTTGTAGTGTGGTATTCTGAAATGAGAACAAAACATGTTTGACAGCGAAAAATTGCTCTGAGAATTTTGGAACAAAAACATGGTAGAACATATTTGGCAATGTGTTTCGTTCTAAGAAATATGAGAACAAAACATGTTTGGCAAAGTGAAAGTGTAACCAAAATTAGTAAAAAAAAAAAAATTAATTAAATATTAATACTAAAGAATATTTTTAAATAATGTGTTCATTAATACATTTTTTATAACTTTATTAAATATAAAGTAAAAATTTATTATTGTATAATTGTAATATACAATTGATATAACTTTTAATATATATATATATATATATATATATATATATATATATATATATATATATATATATTGTTAAAAATTTATCTTAGTTTATTATAAAAACCAATAAAATAAATTCTAAATTGTAAAACCTATTAATGCTACATATTATTTTCCCAGTTATGGACTACATTGTTTCAATATGGAACTGAAATAAAGTTTTAACATATTATACATTTCATGAAATTTAATATATTACATACATGAGTTTCAAAAATATTACGGCATTTATCAACTGCCACAATAATCAACAACAACAACATAAGCAATAACATAAAGAATATAGTTATAGTAAGACGAAGACAACAACCATAGATAATGTAGTTTTGCCGATTTTGTTGAGCTTGCATAACAGCAATTACATCCTCCAACTCTTCCTGCACATGACCACCCACTTGCAGATGTTGGTGCATGTCATCCAACCATATAAATGCACGATCATGTGACTAAATCAGAACAAAGAGTTGTATATTATTATAATGCACCTGTGACAGTAAGATGTACTTAAAAAAAAAAAATTAATGCAAAGAAAATTGTATACCTCCCAAACTGGACATCTATAAAATAAACGTCCATAATTCTTTGAAATTCCAGCCGTATAAAGATTCATTCGACCCCTTCCACATGCACAAGGTGGCCCGTCACCCTGTATCTTATACATGACTGCATATACAAGTTATTAAACTGATCCAAAAAAGTTAATAAAAAAAATAAAATAGAATCATTTATCGAAATCGTAAAGTAATGTTAAAATAAAGTAGTTATTACAGTTATCCAAATCCTAACAAATAATTAAAATAAAGTAGTTGTTACAATTCTCCAAATACTAACAAATGGAACAAGTATAAAAATCTTATTACAGTTATTCAAACATGATAAACATGTAAATCCTATTTTAAGGGTGCCGACTTGCATTCCATATAGTATCAGCAATATGATCGCGTACGATATCCATTGGTCACGAGCGAGAGTGCGACGCATTAGGCTGAACATCAACATCATCATCTCCAAAAATTTCATCTATCATCGCCTCCACAGTTGCATCATTAAATATTGGATCTACATGCGCCTCCTTTCTTATAAAGTTATGAAGTGTGCAGCAGGCTAAAACAATAGCAACTTGAGCTTCAGACCTATATGGGGGAATTTGCTTTAAGATAGGGAATCTCATCTTAAGCATCCCAAAACAACGCTCAATTATATTGCACAATGATGAGTGCCTGTGATTATATATTTCTTCTCTACATTAGGATTGCCGAGAAACTCTACGGTACTCTTGGAAGTGTTACCGTTGGCCCCTGTAAGGAGCCAAGAAACCCGGTTGATTGGCATACCCGGAGTCCACCAAATAATATTTCCCTGCCATTTTATAAACTATAAGGCACGTTTTTTTACCATGATATTTTAAATAAGTATTGCAAAATTATAGCAAGTATGACATTTACCTTCTGGAGGCATTGGGAAATGCAAATCCTCATTATTAATGGTCTCGTTCAATATCCTAGAATCATTAGCAGACCCCTTCCATCCTGCTGCGACGTACGTGAACATTATATCAAAATCATAAACAGCCATTACATTTTGTGTGGTATCCCCCTTCCTACCATGAAATGGTATTTGCTGGTCCACAGACACGTTCGCATGGACATGAGTTCCATCAATTGCCTCTACACAATTCTTAAAAAAATGGTGGTACTTTTTTTACTTCTTTATATGGTTAGGAACTTGGCTAAAATCTGGAGCGACAATAATATATTTCCCTAAATCACAGACTTTTTGTAAAACCGCATAAAAGTATTTTGAAATTGTATAGGTAAAGTGTTGAAATCTTTCTGTGACCACACGATTCCTTTCATTATGAGCTAAAATAAGCAAAAATATGCCAACTTATTCATAAACATTTACCCCTGTAGAGTCTTTCAACCCTAATAACTTAAGCTCCCCACACAACTTCAAAAAAACAGGGGTAGACATCCTAAAATTTTCAAAACATCTACTTCCATGCCCATGCAAGATTTCCATTATATATGTTTCCCCGGTTAAAAGAGAATCCCTACAAGGTTGTTTCGCGTAATGTTTCTTATAATACTCAAACATACATGCCATTATGATGACACAATCATTCTCCTCATCACCATCATCATACAAGTCAATTATTGTCCTAATATCCATCTGTATAATACAAAATTTAATAAACGAGATAAATTACAATCATCTCAAGCGAAATACCAAATAATAAATAAAAGCAAGACAACAAATAAAATCAAAGCAAGCGAAATAGTTATATTTTCATTACAATCAAACCAAATAACATAAATACGAGTGTACTTAATATTACAATCAACCAAAGTCATAGCAAAACCAAATAAGAAATAAAAGCGACACACCAAAAGTCATAATACGTACTAGTACAGTCATCCAAAGTCATATAAAACCAACATACCAAATCAAATTCCTTTGATTCAACCAATCTTCTTATCATCAGGAAGGTCATTAAGAAAGAAATCCCTCTAAACTTCATCAGTACGTAACATCTGTGTGACCTTAGCTTATTGTTTCATATCAACGCCCTTCAACTTATTCAAAATATAACAACATAATTTAAAATCACCTTTTATGTTGTCTGGAAAATTGACTTCAACTTGCCCAGCTTCATGAACTGTTTTCATATTAGATGATGAAGAAACGACTATGACCCTTTCAATTCGATCTGTTTTCTTTCTATAAGTGTCACTCATTTTCTCCATGACACGATTCATTGTGGAGGCAAAACTCTCTCTCTTTGGTTTCTGACCACGAGGTTCAGGAGAATGAGTGAACTCATGACGGCCTAACTCAGCGAAATTATCATTAAGGTCAAATGAGGTATGTGTGCCTTCATGGTGTGCGGGGGCTTGGTTGAG